GCTGCTCATGGTGGTGGAAACATGGATATGATCTGATGTGATGTGACACAGGGAAAGAAAAGAAGGGGATGGGAGACATTGGGGAAGATGAAAGCAGCAATAAATGGTAGGAGGTTATGAAAGGGGAACAGATGAGCAGCAGGACAGAGGAGGTAACGAACACCAGGGGTTGAAACAATTAGATTGGGGTGGATGAAATGTGCTTCAGCTGCAGGAGACGGAGGACCTAATGTCTCCTCCTCAGAGCATCCATTAGAAAAATCGGCTATTGTAGAAAATGTGCTGCAATTAAATATGAGATTTTCCTCAGAACTATTGCAACTAGGCGTCTCCTGGAGGCAGGTACTGAAGCTGCTGTTATTTCTCGAATACATCCGTCTGACAAATGGTTTCTCTCTTAGATGTATTATAAGTTCATGTGGAGTCACCAAGTTTTCTAAATCAAAGAAGTTTCATCTAGGGCTGAAACAATCTGATTAATCGTGATTAACAGTCAACTAATTTAGTAATCTATTAATTGGTAACTGCAGTATAGAGACTGTAAAACATGCTTTTAACTGACAGAGTGACCCACTTAGAGCAGTAATTATATCAAAATTGAAGCGATGCACCAATACCAATATCGGGCAGGGCTCCGATCCAGCACTAAAATGGTGGCATCTGTATCGGCAAGTTTATTCAACTATTGTCATCCATTCTAGGTAGGCAATAAAAAGTTCTATTGAATTCACTTTGTATTAGTCTTTTTCCTGCTTCACAATGGTAGGCAGTAGGGATGTACAAAATAATCGTAATGACGATGCATCGCGATTCTTATTTTTGTGATCTACGGCATCGATTCTTGACGCCAAGTATCGATTAATTTACAAGCATTTCCGGCCACGGGATACTGTGACGAGTCATTTGTAAACAAAACATGGACACTGAGAAAATACGCCCGGCTCCATCACATTTCAAGTCAGATGCTTGGATGCATTTAGGCTTTCAAAACAAAGAAGGTAAAAACGAAATTGATATGATGCACGTAATTTGCAAAAGGGTAAATGTCATACATTTGAATGTTTTCATTTAATTGGTTTAAAGGACCACTGAGGCCATGTAAATGGCATTGATTATCCTTATTTTGTTTTTTGAAGTTTTATGAATCTTTTTGTCAGCGTGTCCACACCAGTAATAGTAATATTTCTGTCCAGTATTTGTTTTCATGGCAACACCTCCAAAAGTCGTTTCAATAAATACAGCTATGTATGAATTCAGTTGCTTTCAGTTATGTATCAATTGAAGACACTATCCAGACCATACCCAGCCACTCAGCCACTGGTAATGGCTGTATCTTTTTCTTACAGTGTTCAGTGAAAATATTGCGATGCATCACGATGCATCGCAATATTTCAAGTATCGTGATGCATCGTGATAGAATCGCATTGTGGCATGTGAATCGTGATTCGAATCGAATCATGACTTCGTTGCCAATACCAACCCCTAGGTGGCAGCAGCTTGAAAAAGCCATGATGGCAATTATTTTACATCCAAGTAGTATGAAGTTCTTCATATATACACACATCAACTTTAAACAGATGGTATCGGTATGGTATCAGCCGATACAGCACAGCCAGGTATCGGGGTCAAAGAATGGCATCCTTGCAACACTACAAAAATTGTAAAAAAAAAAAAAAAAAAAATTTATATATATATATATATATATATATATATATATATATATATATATATATATATATATATATATATATATATATATATATATATATATATATATATATATATAAATTTTGAATTTAGGATTAAGTAAATGTTTTCATCTGCCAATATGCTCCATTAAGTGGTAAACTTTTAGTTTCACTTGGTTTGATTTCGTAAAAGATTTCTTCGTAAAAGATCATTTCTTTTGATTATTATCGATTGATTGATTTGCTAAATAATCATTAGTTGCAGCCCTAGTTTTATCCAAAACAAGATGCAAACTGACAGCTTCTTCCAGATACTACCGGAGAGAACTGGATGATTCCTCCATCAGCAACGAATTAAAGATCAGTTCAAGAGTGGAGCAAAAGATTAACTAACGGATTGAGAACTCTTCTGTTTCCCTTTTTCTCACTCAGTAATCCATCGTTCTACCTAGGGCTCCAACTAATGACTACTTCTATAGTTCACTAATCCATTATAATTTCTTGATCAGTCGACTAATCCCAAATGGTTTTCCATATCTCATCAAATTTTGGGATTAAAAATGACATTTCAATCCCTTAAATAAATATTTCAACTCCATTAGTTGACACGCCTGAAAAGTTCCCTCACTTGCCTCGCTAGCACAGTCTTTTATTAAACAACCTTACAAAAAAACAAAAAATCATGATTTGAATTTTAAAATAAAGGAATATGTTTAACATTTCAAATATTTTTTTTGCTTCCAAAAATCAAATAAACATACTGATTCAAACTAAAATATTAAAAAGAGACCATATCAGTGTGTTGTGATTATGCTCTTGTTCTGTCTTATGTTGAAACAGAGATATTGTGGTTTTTAAACCTTATTTCAATTAGATATAGTTCCAAAATATAATAAAACAGGAACCTATGAGGTGACACTTCTAATCCTCCATGAACAAAGCTGCAATGTTTCTTTTCCAGAGGACCTCTGGGACGATGTGGCTAAAACGATCTGGCTCCGGTTGAGGATGAACAGCAGCACCCTCTTCTGGATGACAACCACACTACATAACTTAAAAACTGTCCATCTAAGCGGACGTTCTCGGTTAATCGCATATAACACATTTTAATCAAACAATTATCAGTAAATAAATCTCAAAATGACTGAAATGTTCACACTAGGGTGGAAAACAAATGCTCTATGACACAAGTTTGCGTCAACTTTTATTTTTCATTACTATCTAATGAAAAGCAGATCTTGCAGCCTCAGTATCTTCGCCCATGATCAAGAGATATCGATTAGATGGAAAGAAGATTCTGGATACAAGCAGCGACTATAACCTTCCTATGTGGAGTTGCTTCCTCAGAAACAAGCCGTGAAGCGCATAGAGATGCTGCTCCTCAAAACTCAATGGACTATTGATTTAAACCAGAAGCTGGGCATCTCTACTGGACAGTGTCTTGGTTTACTCCACATAGGCTGGAGAAGGTCATCGGGCAGAGAAGGATATCAGTGTCTCCCTTCGGCAGCTATTGATGGATGGGCAGATGACAATCTGTCCGTCTGCACTGCATTTCTATCTGAGGTGCCTAAAAGTCCTTCAGCAGCAGGTGCAGCAGCCACTGCAAATAGTGAGACCAATCAACAAGAACCAAATAGCCCTTCAGCAGAGGTCTGAGCATCTAGACTGTTGAGCCCTGTGAGAAAAAACTTCCTGTTTAGTCCCTGATCCAAAGTTTAACATCCAAATTAAAATATTCTGATGTTTCACAGGCTCCAAATTTGGACGCTCTCTTAATCACAGATATGAGAGAGAAGAGAGACTTTTTAGTACATAAAGACTCCAGGGAGACGTACTGGCTGTGCTGTGGGGAAACTGAGAAGCTCAACTTCTCAGTTTGCAGAGTTTACTTTGTTTTTCAAGCTTCTGGAAATCTATCAAGAGTTCCTCTGGCTTCCTGATTGGAGTGTAAACCAAGTTAAACTTCATCCAGTCTTAAAGGATGGTAAAAAGATCAGCAAAACCTGTCACAGTTGTAGGTTAAGGGTTACAAGTGACTACGCAGAATGAAATACTTTCAACCAGAATTTCTTTAAAATTAAGGTTAACCAGTGTATGATACAAGGCAACTGATAAAGTCATTATTTAATATTTAAATATGTGTTTTGTTTTCTTTTGACTATATGCCAAGTTAAATAAAGCTAATACATTTATTTTGTAAGCTGTATTAGATATTGACTGAATAAACAAAAAAAAATAGAGTTTGTTAAAATTATTTATACGATAAAACAAACAGGGATATATTAGTTTACTAAATTAAAAAAAGATTATTAAAATATGTGAATTCCATCCATCCATCCATTTTCCATCACTCTTATCCCAAGTGGGGTTGTGAGGGGCGCTGGTGCCCATCTCCAGCTGCCTACGGGCAAAAATATGTGATATATTTGTGGTTTTCATCAACAAACAGGGTATGTCGCTTTGACATACTGTCAGTCTATAACATCTTTAGTGTTGCCCAATAATCTGATGAGACTTTGTCCTGTTACTAGCACTATTGAACAGGTTATCGTGGTTAATTAAAGAAGAACCTTAAAACTTGACTCCATGAGGTGCATTAACTAACGGAAGCCTCCCCAATTTACCCTACTTGCTCATGTTGTATATCATGTTACATTGTTTTTGCATAATCCCCTCCACTAATTCCATCATCACATCCTCACCTTTCCAGCACGGCGGAGAAGTTATGCTGCTCCTCACGTAACACCACTAAATGGGTGGTATTTAGATGATAAAGTAAAGCATTTGTTCAGTGTTTAAATTTACAAAAAGAACTAGGTAAGAGTAATTTCTGCACATTTTCATCATCTGAAACACTCAATAATTGTGGACCAGAGTGGATTCATGTTTGTACTCTATGGCAATACTTTTCTTGCGAGCAGTATGACAAGTTGCCCTCTGGTGGACGTCAGTAACACTACAACACTCAAAGAAATTCCTTTTATTGTTCATGTGTTTATGTTTATAGCAGATTCTTTTATCCAAAGCAACTTACAAAGTAGGTTGCATTAATGTGAAGGATCATACCCAAAGAACTACACTCATGCTCCCCAGCAGGGAATCGAAGTGGGTTCTACTGTGTGCAAGTCGGGTGACTTTGACATTGGGATGTTAGCAGTTAAAAGATGGAACAAATCTTAATCTCACAAACCGTTAATCAACTATTAATCTGAATTCGACTATTTGTTTACATTCCTAATTTTGATGTAGAGTTTGGTTTGAAGTCTTAACCCAGAATCACCTAAAGCGGAGAACATGGAGCCTACTCACCTTTATGATATCTCCAAGGTAAGCATCCTCCATCTTGTTTGGCACCTTGATCTGGAAAACCTGGCCAACTACCGCTGAGGAGTCTGGGAAAGCCGTGGGAGTCGCCGTATCCTGCCGTGCTGCTGCCATTTCCCCAACGTCCATCACCCGGAGGCTCTCCGCCACTTCCTGGAAGTCATGTAGCAGCGACGAGTGCATGGAGGCTTCCAGCTCACTCCCGCCTCCTCCCAAGTCCTCACCCTCCCCACCAGCGTCCAACAACACCATTCCTCCCAGCATGTCAATCTCTACTTCTGCGGTGGCCGGTAGGGGAATCCAACTGATCGCAGTGAAAACCAAACCCAGTAGCCAGACTCTAGTCCTTGACGAAGTCCCGCTGAGGCCCCTGCTAGCTCTCAGCCAGCCCACACTCCGTTTACTGAACATTCTTGGCCTTTTGTTTGCTTGTCAGTGATGCAGAAACCAGCAAAAAGGAGGATGTTCAAGAAGGAGGGAAAGGTCTCGAGGGGGCATGCACCCCCAACAGATTGACCAAATCCTTCTTTTCAAACCTCTCTCCTCGCCTGGCGCCTTCTTCTGCCCCGCCTCCTCCACCCGCTTTAGTCCTTTAACTTTGCTCTTGTTTCTTGAGCGTCCCTCACAGCTCAGGGAGTCCCATTGGGCCGGACACCTTCGAGATCTGTTAGGAGACAAATGAATAGAAGAAAACAGGTGAGAAAAGGGAACATTCTACACACCATCAAAAGCCAACTCCTCAGTCTAATTCAAGCCACATAAAGCTTATTGTTGATTTGAAAAAAAATCCTAATATCAGCGCTGAGGGAGTAATCTGATTAGCTCTGTTCTCAGCTCATCAATGGCTCCGCTTTGGGGCATAAAAGTGAAGGCAAAAGATGAAAGATGGAGAGATGAGGGAGGGGGAGGCGAAGGTGATTTCAGCAACAATGCCTAACCGGTCACAGCTTTCCGGGGGATTCCTAATGAATGCATGCCTTCTCCTTTGTGAGAGAGGTCAAACTGAGTGTGTGGAGGTGTGTGTTGCAGGCCTGAACTCAGACCCCCTCCCTACTGAATATGTATTGGAACAAAAGGCCTCAGGAATGAAGAGAAAGAAAGCAAAGAAAGGAAAGTGGGGGAAAAAAAAGGACGGATGGGAAATGAGGAAAGTCCCGCTGGGAATCCACTTTGTCCCATCAGGGAAAGCAGAATCTCTGCAGGAGTCTCTGAGTGTCAACAACGCAGTCTCCCAGGTAGCTTCAGACCAATTGAATAAAGCTGCCACCGACTGCTGGACCGACCTTTGCTTTAAACCCGCTGAAGCTGCAGCAGAACCATTTTCTATTAGTGAAAGATAAGATTTGCACTCACTCACTGGTGAATTTTGTTTTTTTACACACTTCTTTAACCTGCCACCTAATTCCATCTTTCCTTCTCTCATTCTGCACGGCTTCTCTTGTTGCATGACTTCTTCGTGTCATCCCTCCAGAGGCTTCAGATCCGCCCTCAGTCAGATCCATGAAGCCTTCAAGGCAGTTTTATTTTCCTCCTGGCACCCATTCACCCATCAGAAGCACAGGTCTACCATTCACCGCGTGACAAAAGGTTTGATGATGGTGAGGGAGTGTCACTATGAAAGGGGTCATCGAGCTGCAGCGGCAACTCAAAAAAAAAGCATACCTGAAGAAGGCAAGTATGCTGTTCTAATGTATGTTTCCAACACAGAAGCCATCATTAGGTCACAGATGAACACAGTTTACAATAGGAACTTGTAAAACATCCTATTTTACAGCACAGACTCTTCATAGATTAATGCAGCCTTCAAGTGTTCACAGCTGTGGATTTGTGGTTCTGCATCCGAACAAATGCCACCGCATCAGCCACAAAAATGACTAATTTAAAACCATTACTCTTAAATTCACCCATACCTGTCAGTTGATCTGGGGCTAGATTATCCTGACTTTTTTTTTTTTTTTTTTATGCTGTAACCGACTGCATAAAGATTAAAAAAAATTGGAAACAGAAACAACAGAAAATCTACTTTACTGCAGAAGATTCAAATCTGTTCCGTTAAAAAAAATAAATAAATAGTAATGTGATAACTTGGGGTGTCTGCCACTGAACCCTGGATGGACGGGGCCGATGGGATGGGGGCGTTACCGGGCGTTGGTTAAGGAACACTATGTGAAAACTGCTCAGTGGTTCTAAAGATAGAACTCTTCAGATGCATTTCCTATTTGGTGAGAATAACGGGGCAGCTGCTGCATGGCGCCAGATCAAAGACAAACCCAGACTGTCTTTATGCATACCAACACTCCCAACCATCAAATAAAACAAAAATAACCATTGCACTCAATGTGGCATTAATCATTTTAGTAATTATGAACACTTTAACAGCTAAAGTCATCATGAGTCTTAAGCAAAGTCTTATGGAGAGTTCAGGGAGATCAATTTCCTCCCATAAAGTCGCAGCTCTTTGGGATGTGCTTCACTCCTAAGTGGAGGTTTGAGGCTCCAACTGTAAAGGATCTGGTAGTTTGTGGTGTGCAGTAATCCAGATGAGCCCATGAGCAAAAATTACAGCAAAGAATAACAGTGGTTAGGGAGCCTCCTTAGGCTTTAATGACTCATATGTCAGAAACAAGCGGGCTAAGTATATACACATATATTAATCAGAGCACAATATTGTTATTCACAGTAGACCCCTCTTTAAAAACCTTTCTGATAAAGCTGCATTCTGTGTTTCAATTATCTGTGGGCTGTAATCAAAATTAGAAGAATGTTTCCTTTCCATTGCTTCCTTCTTTAGGGGTCGCCACTGCAAGTCATGAGGACTTTGCAAAGGTTTACTGACGGATACTCATCCTTTTCAGCCTTTTAATCAAAGTAAAAGATAAATAGGCAGGAATAAAGGGGGGATGAAGGCCTAGTGGTTAGGGCATAGTGCTTGGAATCCTAGGGTTGCAAGTTTGAAACCCACTCCCACAGACTGCCGCTGTGGCTCCCTTAGCAAAAGGCCCTTAACCCCACACTGCTCTCTAGGTGCCGCAAATGGCAGCCCACAGCTTCCCAAGAGGATGGGTTAAATGCAGAGAATGAATTTCGTTGCACTTATGACAATAAAAACACAGAAAAAAAGAAAAGATATATGTCTACTCATATCTACCATTAAAGTGAAAATTAAAGTTAAAATAGGCTATATTGAGGCAAAAAATATCATTGAGTTCTGCTTTAAATGGCCACAAAAGTGTTTTGTTTTTGCTATTTAATTTAATGCACTCATACATTTTTAATCCTTGTAGACAATGCTAAAATAAATACTGAGGCAAATTCTAACCATGAGTCCCTGCATTAAGTTCTGAACTTGATCAAAATGGATCGACAAGTCAAAGAGAGACATCTCCGACAATAAAGGTCAAATGAAAAGTCCTGTGAGTCAGTCTGGAGATGTTTAAGGAATACTTTAGTGGTATCATCAAAAACACTCCATTCCCAGCTGAGCCCTGTCTGCTTTCAGTCTCACTCAGATACAGTACATTAACAGGATCCAGTAGGTGTGAAAGTTCCTGTCTGGACCTGTAACAAAAATCTGCTGCTGGAATTTCCCTCAGCGTCCAATGAAAAGCGGAGAAACACCACTCAGGGGCCAATTATAGTGACAGCATTCCCGCATGGAGGCCAATCAGACAGACAGACGTCCTGCCAACATCAGAGCTGTAGATTTCTGCCGGGTCAGTCTTCACCCTGATGACCACCAACAGTGTCTCAAAGTCGCAGCTGACGCCTCTATTATTGGCAGAGCCGCTTCTCAAACAGAGGGAGGGTTTCTAAACACGGTAACCTTCCCGGGATATGCAGTCTTCTCCTCTTTACACATTCCACACACAGAGCAGAGAGCGGGTTGGATGATGCATTCCCAGTGTAGTCTCCAGAGTAAACCAGGATTATGCTGTGTTTACCTTTACAACAAGATTTGGATGTTTAGCACAGAGATTAGACACATCTGAGGTATTTAGACGGCTCTCTCACGCAGACAGCTTTACTGTAAACAGATTACTCCTTCCGTTGGAGGAGAGACGTCCTTATTGTTCTTTTATAGCATCTGAGGGAGTCTGTCCCAGAGAAGGAGTCGAGGTCTTTTTGGTTTTTCCGACCTTATTATCGGCTGCTTATGGATACGTTTCAAAGCGGTGACCTCTGCAGGTGCACAATCTGTGCTACCTCCAAAAATCTTTCAAATGAATTCGGATTAATCTGCCTTTCCCCTCTTAATTACTCCTGTAATTAGCTGTGCTGCAGTCTGAACGAGACGCAAAGCTGCAGAATCGTCCAGAGCAAGAAGAGCAATCAATCACAGTACAAACTCACCGTCCAGTCGGCGGCTGAAACTCGGTTAGCTGCTACTAAAGCGAGCGGAGGGGCCATATGTGTGAACATAAGGTGGCAGGGAGAACGAGCGTCATGCCAAGAGCAAAACTCTTCCAATGAATTATAAAGCATGTTCAGAGAGGAGGAGGAAAACCAACTGGGAGCTTTTTTTTGTACAAGCCAACTGTTTGTTTCCTAAACCTAAAGCAAGGATTATTGGATAAACTTAACTCTGTGTATGCGGTCGGTTTAAACCAGGTCTCAGACAAATGACAACACAAATGAGTCATAGCCGTTTCTATGTTGCATTCCCGAGGCGTTTTCAACAGTACACCGAAGTAGGTCAAACATGGAGCCACAAGGGATTTACTGAACTTTAGGAACAAAACATGAGAGTACAAGCAAAGTAGAGAGTTACAGAACATGTGCATGATTGCAACTCAGAGGCCAAATCAAAACTGAAATATTAAGTCTGGTACAGAACAGACATTATCCACACCAAGTGCATATTATAGATAATGGAGAGCACATGTCAATATAGACTGAATGGTCTATATTCATATAAAGATAACAAGAATAAACCAGGCACACAGGGAAAGCTACTCAAATATCAGAATTGATTGCTAAGCTCTGGGTCTTTGGTTTTTCAAAATCAAAGTCATGGAAATGACATCTTTTTTGGGGTGAGGGTCAAAAATAAAAGCAGCATTCTGTAGTATTTATCGTAACAAAAGAAACAAAGAAAAATAAAATCTTTGTAGTATAGTGAAATATTTATGAGAAATTTTACATGTATTGCTCTAAAACTGACCCATTAATTTGCCACTTCAACTCTTCAGATTCATTCAGCAGGTTGATATTACCCCAAATAATGGGAATGTCTGAAAGAGTCAAGTGAGTCAAAAAGAGAAACGGACCATACACTGCTACCAGGCTCTGTGATTGGTTCATGATATAGGCGTGTATCACAGCTCTTGACTGAGGAAGAGTAGGGTACACCTACCAGAATGGCTGTCGTACTGTCCTAAAAGGACACTAACCTAGAATATGAAAAGTTAAAATGCTAGAAATGGGATGGAAACCGGATTGGTTGAACTGTTAAGATTAAAAAAAAAAGGAAATAAAAAACAATCCGCTGGACTTTGTTTGCAAGTTTGAAGATGTTACGCTTCCCATCCGATAAGCTTTTTCAATTCAAAATGTCAGGAATAGCGTCGAGTTCAAGGTTTTTATTTTGAATTGAAAAAGCTTTTTGGATGGGAAGAAAGACATCTTCAAACTTGGAAACAAAGTCCAGTGGATTGTTCTTAATTT